ATCTTTCTCATTCACCACGGGATTGGGAAATGCACAGTCAAATGCATGCACCCACACATCTTTGATGAAGCCATCTTCTTTTGATAAGAAATGGCCCCTCACCTGCACAAATTGCTGAAATCCTGGAACTTCATTGGAATAAACTGAAAAGGACAGGGCACCATGGATGTCTTGAATATCCCAGCTCCTTTGGTAAAACACAGATGCAAGATCCATTTGGGTGGGCATGACCCACACTTTACCTTTCGGCTCCATAGACACTAGTTCCATTTTAGAAAGGTACAGCAACAACCTCAGATGCAGAAGAGTTCTTTCATAGACAATTACTGCATTGGCTTTACTGTTCATAGAGACATAAAATGTTTCTACTAGCCACTCCAGATCCTTGAATAAGCTACTGATGTAAAATGGTTTAATTCTTTTTAAGAAGGCAATGCAAATGCCATGAAGAAGAAAAGTTGCAAAGGCCACCCTCACAAATCTTCCATCATCATCTTCCCTCACAAGGATCCCAACCCAGGTCCACTTGAAGTGCACAAACAGCTGAAGAAATCCTTGGTACTGAACATTTTTATCTGGGGCCATCTGATAGAAGGACAAGGATTCACTTTGATCCTGCATCTCTGGATGGGACCCATATATAAACTACAGGAATAAGAAAATCAATAGGAGCTTAGAGAAGGGAAAGAAATGAAGAAATCTTTGCTAAAATCACTGCTGTACTAAAACCCTAATTTGGCAGGTCATCCTCAAGCATCTAGCAAATTTCAGTTTGTGTCAGAACTTATTTTAGCAGCCTTATAAGAGGACAAATGTTGGTTTCTATTCATCGGAGGATAGTTTTGAGGTATTCTTATGCTGTGTTATTGATAATATTACATTTCACTGATATGCTTGCATTTCAAATTGGGTGCATTGGTATTCTCAGAATAATGTTTTCCAGAATTTCTTGAAATACAGGTCTTAACTGATTGATTGATTGATTAAAATTTAACTTGTTTTCAATTGAAAATCATCTTCAAGGGCAGCTCTCAGTCATCTAACCTGGAGAAAAGAAAGTGAGAAGCTTTGCATGATGAAGCTTACTGAGTCAGAAGATGACTTTCCAGCTCTCCTTAGTTGAATATCACATTTCTTTGAATGTATTTTATTATTTTCTTTTGTTGATTCAATGCACAATAAATTGCTTCAGTTCAAAATAATTCAAGGTTGCCATAAAATCCCTAGCTATTAAGCAATTGTTCTTTTTTTCTAATTTCATTGGGGCACTTTTCTAAATATCATGATCCTTTCATAAGAGCCTTACAATGACTCTATAAAACCAAATTCACTATCCACACTGCCTCAAGCTTTAATAAATTGGCTTTATATACTTTATTAATTAATCTAAACTAGGTATGTCTCAAGCACATACTAGCATGTTTCCAACTTACACAGTTGTAAAAAGTTCAGAAAAATCTGGATGAGTTCATAAGATCTCATGGCTCACCACACATCCTACCTGTGGTAGTTTGTGGATTCTCAAGATATCTGCCATGTCAATGGAGGTTTCAGAATAAAGAGCCCCAATGACAGAGACCAGGTTGTTCTGGATGCCACACTTATAGTTTGGGATCAGTCTCTTCAGAGGTGAAAAAAGTTCCAGTGTGGCATGGTAAGTCCTTCTTCTGTCATAGCTGTCAAAAATATTGAAGCCCAAGGTGACATTGGGCAAGATCTGAGGGTTTTCATTGATCTCCTTCACAGCAAATATCAAAGCCAAAATATGCTGATAAAACTTAGTCTGGACTCTGCAATGACAATGGTATGTGATAAAAAGAACATGCTGTATCTAACAGAAAACATTGCCACAAATGTGGTCCATTAAAACATGTTTTTAAAACAACATTCCATACATCATGCTACTTCAATATACATCATTCAATTTGTGCTATTATGGACTGATCCAGAATTAATTCTTGGTAGAATAGTCTGTCACTTCTTCATGTGTGCTTGATTTTGTTTTGTTTTTCTTAATTATTGGCTATAATAAATAAACTGGATGAAATTGAAAGCCTGGTATGAAATGAAACTGAATAAGTAAAAATTATATGCCTGTCTGCATGAACAGAAGGCTGAGCGCCGAAGAACTGATGCCTTTGAACTGTGGTGCTGGGGAAGACTCTTAAGAGTGCCCTGGACTGCTAGGAGGTCAAAGGCATAAATTCTTCGGCGCTCAGCCTTC